AATAAGTTTTAGAATCAAGATGCGTAAAGATATGCCCGCTGCTTTTAATTATTCTCTTTTAATTGTTTAATCATAAAATAAACAAGAAATCGTTTAATATTAGTTGAAGATGATTTCGCAGAAAAATAATATATGAAAATAATATGTAAAATGCATTAAAATATTAATTGTATCAATATTAAAATAATAAAATATTGCATAAAATAATTATTATTTCATTTTAAAAAATTAATAGCAATAGTAATAATAAATTGACTCCAACAAACTGAGGCCACAAAATATTACATTTGAAGAAACACAGTCAGGTGAATATAGTTTTGATAAGTTAATATTTTTCCTAAATGATAAATATAAATTTCATAATTAAATATGTATTTGTATCTAAAATATTTTTTTAAATAATTAAATTTCCTAAATAATAACAAAAAATAAACTAATTTTCTGCTTATATACTGAAGTTTATAAAAAAACAAGCATTTTATTTTAAAGCATGAAAATAAATTAATAAATCAATCACATAGTAGTTTGTTTATTTATAAGTACATAGTCATGTAAATTTAGTTTTAGTTAAAATAATAAATATTAATATGTAATAATATTTTCGTAAATAATAAATGTACAATAATAAATATAAAATTTCTGAAACCAATACGTAAATCCAAATAATTATTCCTAAATAAAAGAAAATATTATCCTGCTTATAAATTTCATGTATCGACGAAATTTTCTGAAGGATAATTTAATTTTTTGATACAAAAAAAGAAAGAAAAAAAAAACTAAACAATGCACATAAGTACAAAAATAAAGTTTCTACTTAAACTCCCTGCAAAATTAAAAAAAAAAAAATCATTTTAACGCATGAAAATAAATTTATAAATATAATATTGAGTGATTTGTTTATTTATAATGATAAATCTATAAGTTTTAGAGCGAAAATGAAACACGATTTGTTTACAAAATATTGGTGCGAAAATAATGCGCTAATTCCAATGAACGTGCGAAAAAAAGGCAGTAAAATGTTCCAAAGGTTTATACCAAAATGAGAATTAATTATAATGAAAATGCCTATAATTTTTACCTTCTTTTCAATCTATTAATTTAAATTAAAACATAAAAAATGGCAATATCACGGGTTAAATATTCGATAAATTCGCTTGATATAGGCGTAATTTACGAAAAAAAAACCCCACATTTTTTTTAATTATAGAACAAAAATCATGATTGCTAAGCGCAAAAGCACCTCCTTTTATGAATTTTTCTGCAACCCCAAAAGCACAGCGATATGAGATAAATTTTCATCAAATTTTACAGTTCCAAACACAGCTCAATAATCCACCTCCATAGCTAAAGCTTACAAATAGGGTTTAATGGCAGAAAAATCATCCTTGTATCACTTGAAAACGCAGCAACGAATTATTTACTCCTCTAAAGACAGTATTTCCCAAACTTATGACTTTTGTGCCCCCTTTCTAAATTTTTCGTAACGGTGTGTACCACTAATAAAAAAATGAATGTATTTTTTTAAAAATGTGTTTATTTTTCTTTCTTGGTACGAAATTTTTGGTAAAAAATTCTTAAATTTTGGTAAAAAATTCGTTGTTAACTATCAAATTATATTTTATTAAAATAATCAAAATAAGTAGAATTTATTACAAATCTTTACTATAAAAAAAATTGCACAAAAGTTAAAAATAACAACTGACTGTCGACGCCACTCATTATTAAGTTAGTCAACTCTGCAAAAAATAGCAAAAGAAAAATACGTAATCGTAAAATTTCATGGCTGGCTTTGTTTTTAAAAAAACTTTTGTGAAATTTTCGTTCGCTGCAAGATATTTCGCATAACGACGCGTACCCCCGTTAATTTGTTCCCGTACCCCTTGGGGTACGCGTACCACACTTTGGGAAACACTGCTCTAAGATATAGACTCTCTATAAAAGTGGACTATTCCTCCTCCCTTTTATTTCGGAGGGAAGGTGAGGGAGTGATGCAGGAATTCGAGATAATCATTGATTTTTCTTCTAATTTGTATATATTATAAATATTATTCTTCCCTTATCCCAGATTATGACTTGTATTTTCAACCTATTAGCATATTTTATCGTGTTTCTCATTATAGTATCGGTTATTCGCATTTTGCAAGCTTCTCCTCGTGCCCTCTCTTTCCTCACTTTATATTACTCAAATTAGACGAAGGAGCAGATAGCCTTTCGGGCTAGGTACTCCGTACCCTATGTTTAAATCGGTAAATCCTGTTTCATCTAAAAATAGACAAGAAAATATAACCTTCCTGCCATACTTTTTATGTTAAAAAGAGGCTACGAGCATTGCTTACATCACATTCTAAATCAAGGTTACAACCGAATCCAGGTAAGTTAAACATCAACTTGCAAGGTTACGCCTACTGTACTGTCACGATAGTGGGCGTTACTGTAGATACCATAGAGGCGAAGCATCAGTTGGGCGGGGGCACACTTTTTGCTCTTAGAAAACTGTTAGTATATTTTAAGATTCATTAAAGCATTTATAAATAAATATACATATAAAAAATAAATATGCATATCTGAAACGTAAAATAAACGTATAACTTTTAAAAAACAAAAACTCACGCTGCTCCTATGGTAGATACAATGTGCTAGACATTTGCCTGCATACTATTAGACTTTCATTCCATATAAAAACATTTATTAAGTGCTCATACCTAATTATTGTTTTTCTTCACCTTATTACTTTGTAATCTGCCTGTAATTTGGTATTTAGATTAGCTGATAAACAGCAAATTAACATCGTCCTCATGCTTGCGTGGCTTGTAGGCGTAACTTTCAAATCTGAACTTTTCAGGGCGTTATTATCTTTACACTCTCAAATGTGATATGGAATAGTTGACTAATGCGGAATAATGCCTACTCGACATGGGATTATTTTCGTTACTATGAAATCAAGTGTATTGCCTCAACAGTGAAATTTATTGCAAAGATGAGTCCATGAACGCTAGTCAAAATGACGAAAATTTGGCACAAACAGTTTTAGCGCACGCTACCGCAAAAAGCTTAACTATCAGTAAGACCGATAAAATGATGAAGTTACCGTTTTCTCAACTTATTTATAATCGTTCACTCATTTGTTTTATTTTAGTTCTATAAAATGCTTAAATGTTAATTCGTTAATAGAGACAAAATACATTTTAAACAAAAAATTATGATTGATTTTAAATATTTAAATTTTTTTTAATAATTTTTTTTTGTTTTTAAACTTATATCAATGTTAAATAATGCCCACTCTACATACATGATTTGGGCCATTGTTCCTTTAAACTAAAGAATAAATTGCGAAAAATCTTCATTAATGTAGATTTTCTTTTCTTTTTTCTGTTTATAATAGATTTTATTGTATGAGAGATTGAAATAAACAACAGTAAATAAGTTCAGATTAACCGCTAAATTAAATTTAAGACGTGTGCAAGGGTATATGTAAACGATTACAATCAAGTTCAGCTGTAAATCATTGAATTCAATGTAATGTATGTTTTTCAATATTTTATTTTATAACCGGCTTTGAACAGCCGATCCAACTATGAGTCTCAATTTTCAATTGCGTAGTCTAGTCATTTTGAACCCAATCCTGAAGATAAGGAAACTCGTGGATCAAGCATTGGGAGAAACAAGTCTTCGCGTAGGACTTTTTGATGGAACTCATCCGCATTTGTGTTATATTGAGAGGTAAACTTCTCACGGTAAGTCCGACAGCAAGGGGACTCTAACCCATAATCCATCTACCACTGGGGATATTTTAAGTCAGCACTACAATCGGTGCATATCAACCACCCATCGCTGGGATTCGAACCTGGTTTACGTCATTGAGTGACCAATTCTTTATTCATTGAGTCACCAAGACTCAATCTCCATAGGTGGTGTTAATCACATAAATGAAACTCGTCTTCGAAATATTTAATTTTAATTAGATCTCCAGTATTATACCCTCTAGTGTAGGTAAGGCTCTCGTGCATAAATGAGAAGCAGTTTGAAATCAACAATAAAATTGCTTATGGGAGCAAAATGAACGTAAATTTATTCTGACGTATTCGATACCTCGTTATTATTCACTAACCGTTTTTAATAAATTAACGCAATCATTGTTTCTGAGTGCATCGAAGGAACTGGCGGTTTTAAACATCAATTCAAGCTGCATCCGAGAAAAAACCTCCTAAGATGTGAACTAAAACATGATTGGCGAGTTTTTCACCGGTTAATACATTTCACCACTTAGGTACTCCCTCGCATCTCCGAATTCACATACCAGATTTCTTTAGGAAGCAATAGGAATAGCCTTAAAGGAAATAAATAAATATGTTTGGTTTGCTACGGTCTGCGTTAGAAATCAGATATATCTCTTAAACTATGACAAAATTATCACAACGTTCGTCAACAGATGGCGCTACTTACGAATGAACTATATAATAATTATTTCGCAAGAATCACTATTTGCATCAACGACGTGATGCGGTCTGAACACAAAATTAACAGACATACGAAGTTTGAGTGGTTTGATAGGCAGCAGAAAACATTTATATGCAGTTTTTTTCACTCATCAGCGCCATCTGCTTAAAAACTTTGCTGCTTATTTTAAAAACTGGAAAGAACCTTGGGGGGAAAAAGCAAACCGACTATTTCTGTCTCCTTCTGTTTTTCAAATCTCTCGGGCATATTTGAAAATCAGGAAAAGCTTAGCTGAATCCGTTTCAGTCAGTGAGGCAGTCACCGCAACGACATTATGTAGCAAAAAAAAAAAAAAAGATTGNCTAAAAAAAAAAAAAAAAAATCACACACATTATATGATTTAGAGTGGAGATTCCCTGAAGTAGGAACATAAAATAAATCATACGTAAAACTGAGTAGTGCAGGTGTAGATCTTGGCACCGAGTTGATTTCTAATATTTACTTTTTGCTTGAAAATAAGTGACCAGAAATGAAAAACTGATATCATCCAGTACTATAAACAAGCATTTTTTTCCCGATTCATGCAATTTAACGAATTATCCAAATTTCAAAATCAAAATCCCACATAATTTTAGTTATGTCAGATAAAAGCGTTGAAAAATCGACAGATGAGAAGATTTTCGAAGAAAGATGTGAGTGTAATAGTTTAAATTAAATTTAATTTAAAGACAGTACATTTCTTCTTCTCCTGTTTAAATACATCAACTCAGTTGATTTTGGAATGTTTCAGTTTACAAAACGATGCTTTGCAAATCGGTCGGTTTTTTTAAATTCATCAGGATTTCTTAAATTATCTGTACCATTATATAAAATTTTCAGATAAATTGAACAATTTACAATAAATTTTTTTACATGCCTACAGTAATTTACTCGACAAACTTGAGACAAAACTTTTAACGAATTCAATTTTTTTTGAAGTAACAGTGCCAAACATTACTTTGGTAACCCTTACGTATTTTGTTTATTTTAGCCCGGTGTAAGCAAAAAGTCGCCAAAAATGTAGACCTCTGCTAACTTCAATTTTTCTTTTCTTTTTCCTTTTTTTTAAAAAAAAACACTCGAATTTCTTTGCATCCGGCTCAGAAATATTATAGTAAATTGGTTACGCAGAACACATTATTTTTAATTCTATGTTTATCCACAAAAGACAAATTTTCTGCATCCAAATATTATTTTCAGCATTTGATTTTTATTTTTGATTAAAATCTTTAAATTTCATTCTGTATTTGGTGGAACTCTGCATTTGGATAGCGCCAAAAACGGGTACAGACACGTAACAAATCAATCATGCTAAATATCTTATGGTTTATAAGCTATAACTATTATATCTACGAGAAATATTTAATTAATTGATCTGGGATGTCTTTTTATTGTGGCTATCTGGGCCTGAAATACCGGTCTAACGTAAAAGAGATGTGTAGGAGGTTTATGTGGTTTTTCTCAAACTTTTTCCGCTTATACCACGCACAACAAACCTTTCTTCCGAATACCAGGTTTTCTAAATCTTTGATCCAGAAATTCTCTAGTCTTTTGATAAGTTAAAAATAATTGGGCTACATTGTAAAACACGAAAAGACGTACAGTGCGCAATAAATAAATAAACAAATAAAAAAAGAAAAGAAAAAAATAGAGTACTTGGAATAACTTTGGTCTAATGATAAATTTGTTTAAAAAGTTCCCGAGATATGGCGAAATGCGCAAAACCAAAATCAATTAACATTAAGGGGGTCCAGATTTTGGATCGCTCTCCTTACTAAACTACGGGGACTCTATTTTCCAGATTTCGGCTACCACCTATATTTTAGTGGTCAGAAATTCAAATTCATTGAGAAAAAAAAAGTTTGTCTATTCATAGAAATTATTTTGTGCCTGATTTCGTAACTTAAAATATTGTCTGCACTCATTAGTTAGTATATTTGAGGTCACCCTTTTGAACCATAAGATTGAGTTCTAAAACGTGACGATCCGATTATTAGATCAAAAGTTATTCAGGGTAGCCTGTTTTTCTTCTTCTTTTTTTGCGCAGTGCATATACTTTTAGATTTGACTGTTCAGCAAAATTTTTAACTATTGTACCATATAAATGTCGTAATGTAGCTGAAACTGTTATAGAATTTCAAATACAGTTGAATTCGTTTGTTATGAGCTTAGATTTAAAGAGCTATTGGATTTAACGAAGAAATTTTTAGAATGATTTCATGTTAAAAAACCTACATAAAATGTTCGGTAATTACGATATAACTTGAATTTAAGGAGAAAATTTTTATTTACTTCATTTAATCATACCTCATTTAACTTAACATTTATTTTATAAAGTTTGGAAATTTATGAAAATTATGGTTCTAAACATCATGTTTATGACGTTTATGTTGTTATCATCTAAAATATAATTTTATTATATCTTCAAAAAGAAAGAAAAAAGAGTTTGTAGGAAATTTTTTATCCATTTTAAAGAGTTGAAAATAATCATTTTAGTTCAGTTTGTTCAGATATTGTGTGTCGACAAGTAATAAAAAGAAAGTCTCCCAAATATCTGCAGAAATCATACCATGAACTGTTTTACTTTGGAAAAGAGGAAAAAACTGATAATATAACTCTTTTCTTTTCTCGATTTCTTAAAGCAAAGTGAAACCTTTTACTATTTTTTAACCATGAAGGACCTTCTACTTTTTTCCAGATAAAGAACAGTTCTGTGTATTTATTTTATTCTTTTTGCTGTACATATTGTACTCAAGGATAGACAGTTAAAACAATTCTTTGTATTTAGCAGATAAAAACAATTCTGTGTATTTACTTTATTCTTCTTGCACTACATATTGGTACTCAAGGATAAAAAAGTTAATAACAGTTCTGCGTATTTAACAGATAAAGATCTGTGTATTTATTTTATTTTTTTGTTGTACCTATTGGTACTCAAGGATACGTTACTCCTCCAGAAAACAAAGTAGATATCAACTAGTTAAACAAAAACAAAAAAAAATGTCCGGGGTGCAAACAGCCCTGAATACTACACTATTTCGAGCCACGGAGTTGATAAGAAATTGTGGTGGGTGATAGCTAACAAATGTTTCGATTGAATAGATTGCTGTTTCAGCTGCCGATGGTGCATCTGTAAAATGTTAGTCACAAAATAAGGGGATATCAACCTAGATTAACTTTTATTCTAATGGTTGGATTTTCATGAACAAAGAGCCAATCTTAATGGTTTAAAGGGTTGACTTTAAATATACTATCATTTAAGTTATGGAGTTTGACACAGAAAAGTACTGCATGTGAATAAACACACCTTTTTACTTCAACAGATTTGGATTTTCTGCAATCGGGATTCCAATTGCTTAACCAATTGAAAGTTTCGGCCCACGGTTAGCCTGAGGGCAAGGAGACTCTAACCCATGATCCGACTACCACTGAGGATATTTTGCAACAGCATTGTGGTCGATGCGAGCGGGGTGCGGAATTCGTATCGATCAGCCATCGATGGGAGTCTAATCCGGTTCACCTCATTGGAAGGCGAACGCTCTATCCCCTGAGCCACCACGATTAGAGCCATTTCTTAAAAGTTACTTTTCGTTTACTTGGGCACATGATAGCTTTATTTTTGCTAATGTAGATGCGAATGTACACGCAAACTACTGCAGCACTCCAGTTAAACTAAAACCTTTTTACCCTATTAATATTACCCTCTTGTTTTGCTTGTTTTATTTTTAATTACTTGACGTAAAAAGAAGATCAATATCATGAATGTACAATACTCTGATGATTCTTAGCTTTATGATACAACAAAGACACAATGGAATGAAATGAGACGTACATTTTCGGAAACTATTCAATGGTTGGTTAGTGTCGTATCCTCTATTGAATCATATCTCATGGTTTGCTTGAATAGTCTTTGCTATCTCAAAGGCATTAAACGAATATAAATCTTCTTCTGTAGAAACTATTCAATAATTGTTTGATTAGAGCAACGCTTAAGACAGCTGCGATATTATAATTTTAGCCCACTGTCGTCTTTTTTAAAAATAATATTTTCATCCTTAAAAATTATATTAATTTTTTGTTAAAAAAAATTGTAAATAAATCCTTTAAAGATGATGATTCAAATGAGTAGTCCATGCATGAACCAAACCAACTTTTTTTTAGTCCGTTGTAAATATTAGTTGTATAAAAAAATTCCTGAAAGTGTGATTTAAAAAAAAATATTAAATGAATTAAGATGAAGTAATTTTTAGCGTAAAAAATATGTTTTTGAATTCTACTAATGTTTAGTTGTGAGGAGAAAAAAATCGAGAAAAAGATTAGAAGAAAAACATGCTAAGAAAAATTAAAATGAATATAAATAGCATTTAAAGGAAAAAAAAGATGAAAATAATAATTAGTGCGTCGATACTTTAAAAATAATTTAAGTATCCATCAAGAATTTCTCACGCTGTATTTCCGACAGCACCCCATCAATCTCGTTTTTTTTTTCCCTTCGCTCTTCAAATAATGACGAAAAAAAATTGGAAGAATTTATGGATGGTTGGCTGATCGTAAAGTAGCTTTCATAGAATGCCCCCATCGGTGAACTTTATAGGAAAAAGTATCAAAAGAAGGGAAAATGTAGGTCACAAGGAACCGTGTTTTCAAGGACAAACAATGTATGACTTTTGGAAAAACTTTCTGAGAAGCGAGAAGTCACTAGAGCAAGAGGTATCAAGCGTGACAACTAGAGCGATCTTTGACCATAAGATTGTTTGCTCATTAGCGATAAAATATGATTCTTACAGAGAACTCTTAAAAAACTCATCTTTTTCGTTTTCTTTCGATTCGAAAAAACGAGATTCACTTTGCTTTTTTTGAAGTCATCATCCATTTGGCATTAAAATGGAATATATATAAAAAAAGAAAATGTAAGAGGTAGGAATATCGCTTTGATGATGATATTCCACGTTCGGTATGCTTTTTTATTTCTCATAAAAGAGGCTAAAAGCCCCATAATGACCATGGAAAGTTTTTGTTAATATTTTCCTCTTTTAGAAGTGGTTACATTTTTGATTATGTTATTTAAAGTTCACTTAACGCTTAAAATATAAAAATGCAAGAAATGGAAATGGCTTTCGTTGAAAAGAAGCATTGATGGAAAAAAAAATAACAACAAATAAATAAGTAAAATACATTAAATATGTAGGTCTCATGAAGTCTGATAGATACTTTCGTCTAGTCTTTTTTTTTTTTTTTTTTTTTTTTTTTTNTTTTTTTTTTTTTTTTTTTTTTTTTTTTTTTTTTTTTTTTTTTTTTTTTTTTTTGCTTATTTTTTGCAGTTATTTATGAACATTAGTGCATTTCACACAATCCGTTAGGTTTTTGACCGCGATGAGCGCAGACGTGCGATGTGCATTATGTTAATTACTAATTGATGGTTTTAATAAAAAATTCAGTTTGGATTTACGCAGTGCTACTGATTTGTAAAGTAGGCATAGTTTCTATAAAGAATCTACACTGTAAGAAAAATCGGTTCTCAACGTTGAACCAAAATATCTCACAAATTTGCTGCAACCGCAATAAAATTTCAAACTGTACCGTTCCCCCGTTCAATCAAGAAACATAGTATCAAGTAATTAAGCTTAATAATAGTTCATTTGCACGAAAATAT